CGCTTAAAGATCTGTTTTCTGCACTTAAATCTATTAAAAACAGTCCCATACAGGGTCAAGTGTGCGTTGAGGAAGTCCTCGACACGTCGCAGGGGGGGGGGTCGTATTGGCCCGCTGGGAGGAAGGGATCGGGCCGGATTGATGCACCACTGTCGGAGGACAAACATCAGGGATCGAGTCGATGCCATGGAAGGCCAGAGGACTTCCAGTACCAATGCTGTTCCGCCCACATAAAATTTTCGTGATTCAGAGGTGTGCGCGTAGTGATTTTTCACTACCTCAGAGTTTTATCTTTAAACTATCACTAACAAGTCAAAAATCCAAATTCGCACGTTTTCCAACGGATATTTTATCTTTCAGGTGAGTCCTCGAATCTCAAGGGATGTGAAGCACACGGCGCATACCAGAGTGGGCCCAGTTAGTTGCGCGCGCTTTAACTACGGCTCTTGAGAGAAAAACTCTCAATTCAGAGAAAAATTAAGAGGATCCTGAAAGGGTCTGTGTGAGATTACATGGAGGAGTACACTATTGAGCAAGAAATGCAGCCTTCAGCGTCAAATTCACAAGCATGTAATCGTTAAAGTTAAGACACGCTAAACAATTTTACACTTTTGGAAAGAGAAAAGAAAGAGGATTTTCGAATCTGCTCCTACTTTAGTGTATAATTGCCCCTGAAAGGAGCTATAGTCGTTGGAGTAGTGCTAATGCAGCGAAAAAGTGACTTTCGGCGGTACTCGGGCAAAAATCCTCAACGTGGCCATTTTTTAAATTGAACGTTTTTAGCAGTTCTAGTAACCGTTGAATAGAGCAAATCTTCTAGTTTATGATGACGTATTTACTTTTCAGATTGGATGAGTTTGAACGGAGTTATGGCTTTGGAAAGCGTAAAAACTCGCACTCATCACGAAATTTTCCTCGTTAATTTTGCAAAAATCCTCAACGTGGCCATTTTTTGAATACTGGACGTATAAAGCTGCTTTAGCAACCGTTTGATAGAGAAAATCTTCTAGTTTTGTCTGACATATTAACTTTTCGGGAATGATGAAAATGGAGCAAGTTACGGCCTCGGAAAGTGTAAAAACTCGTGCTCATCATGAATTTTCCTCGTTAATCGATCTAAATTTGTTATTTCTTATAAATTTTTGTAATTTCAATACTGGTTAGAAAGAGCTCTTCACAAAACTCCCAAATCTGCTTTCAGATTGAAAATTCGTCATATTTGAAGAAAGTTATAATCATTTGAATATTTGTTCAAATTTCAATAGTAAATAAGCTGCTCCACGGTCAACGCCAAAGATCAGTCAGCACACAGCTGGCTAAGGCGGTTTAAAAAGCTTCTTTCAACTGAAGGGGGACGTGTAAATTGATAACCGTACTCTGTGTAGTACTAGAATTTGGTAAGTCTTGTGAAGGAAATAAATAAAGAAGAGATGTTGTCATAGTATGCCATTTTTAGTGAGTAGTTTGAGGTTTTCTGCTGCTTTTTTCGTTTGCTCGTTTGGTAGGACTCATCAATAATGATTAATTTTTTGACTTTTCACTTTTGTACTTTTTAAAAGAATTTTCGGTTGACGGTGTGATAGCAGGGCTTTTTTTATGAACAGTTTTGGGGGAGAATTAGACAACCTTTCCATAGTTCGGCTTTTGAAGAGGGTCGTTTCATGGACTTCGGCCCTCTGGCGGAGGGAGGGGGGGTCGTATTTCCAAATTTTCCTCGACGCCTCGCTTGACCCTGATCTCCGCCCTTTTCGGGAACTCTACAAGCACCTCTCGCTTGTGATGAGGTGCGGGTCCAATTCCCGCCTGGGCAAAGAGCTTTGCGCGAAATTGTGATTGGATAACGAAAGGCATGACACGATAATATAATGATGACTAATAAGCACGGCTTTTCATTAGTGGGATTGGTTTTGTACTTACCCTAGTCGATCAATTATTTACAGTGGCTGATGGTTTTG